AAAAAAACATAATTAAGTTCAGCTCCGGGCGCTGGCTTCGACGCCTGTAATCCCCAGTCACTTTTTGGGAGGCTGAGGCGGCAGATCACGAGGTCGGGAGATCAAGATCCCTTGGCTAACATGGTGAAACCCCGTCTCTACTAAAAATACAAAAAAATTGCCGGGGTGGGGTGGCGGGCGCCTGTAGTCCCAGCTACTCGGGAGGCTGAGGCAGGAGAATGGCGAAGAACCCGGAGGGCGGAGCTTGCAGTGAGCCAAGATCGCGCCACTGCACTCCAGCCTGGGCGACAGAGTGAGACTCCATCTCAAAAAAAAAAAAAAAAATAGTTCAATGCCACTTCATCTGGGAAGCATTTCTATGACTTTCTCAGAAGTAATTACTTCCTCTTTCTGTGCTCTGCCAAGCCTGAACTTCCCATTAGCATGGTGGTCACCCAATTTTGTGGTCACTTCTGTTTATGTTTCAGTCTTTCCCACTAGATCAGACTTCCTTAGAGCAGGAAGTATGGCTTCTACACTTCTTTTCCTAGATGCCAAACATTCAGTGCAGTGCCGTTGTTGAATTATGATACGAGTGACAAATGATTAACTGAATGAATGAAATATTTACTCCAGTGTTTGGTCTTACGTCACTGTCATTAAAACATTCATCACATCTGTGGAAGTATAATGGGATTTAGAATTCTTACTCTTCTAAGGCTTGAAGCATGCTACCAGGTCCTCGGAAGACAGAATGTCTATCATTTGGTCGTTAAGGGAAAGGTCCTCATTCACGCCATCAGCTGAGGTGAAGGCAAGGGGTTCCAGCTTGCTGTCGTACTGCAAACCTTAGTAGAATTGGCAGAAATTATTATTGATTGGGCCTTCTTGTAAATTCCATGTGCTAAAAATTTTTATTTATTTTTAACTTTTAAGTTTAGGGATATGTGTGTAGGCTTGTTATGTAGGTAAACTCATGTCACAGGAGTTTGTTGTACAGATTATTTCATCATCCAGGTATTAAGTCTAGTACTCAGTTAAGAGGGAGAGAATCTGAATTGATTCTGAAAGCTTATGAAGAAGCTTTCCAAATTGATTAAGCATGGACGCGATTTTCAGACAGAGGAAGGAAAGGGCAGATGTAAGGATGTGAAAGGAGCAAGGTGCGTTTGGTGAGATGTCAGTAGCCAAGTGTGGCTGATGTGCAGATTGGGGTATTAAGTATAGAAAATAAAGAAGAGGCAGCACGGGAGAAAGGCCAGACCAGGTGATGTGACTGTATGCTGAACTGAATTCAGTTCTTCTTATGCAGTTAATGAATACTAACATCATACTTCCTATGTGCAATAGCAGATAGTGCCAGACACTGTTTAAGAACTTTACAGAACTAACTCGTATAATCCTCTTAACAAGCCTATGAAGTAGGTATTGCTCTCTGTAACATCTTATGGATGAGAACTTGAGAGAGGTTAAGTCACTTGCCCAAGGGCGTATACTAGTAAATGATAGGGTCAGATTTTAAACTCAGATCATCTGCTTCGTGGTCCAGGCTCTTAATCATTGTCCAAGATTTCTCCTGGATGGACACATGGTTCACAGTCTAGTAGGTAACCTTAACTAGATAAGGTTCATCAGCATGGCCTTACCATTCCTTTTTTCCTTTCAACAGATATTTAAGATGACTTCTTCATGTTTTCTTTAATTTTCCTTTTTTTTTGGCCAAAAATCTCAATCTTATTTTTTTAATTTACTTTCAAACAAAATTATTTTAAAGTCGCTGTCTGAAGACGTTATTATCTGTACCCTCATTCTGTGTCTGTTATCTAGCATACCACTCAGTGTTTGATCATGTTTTCTTGTCTCATATCTCTGTGTATTTTTTATTATGTGCTAGACATTGTATATGAAGTTGAAAAGACAATCTGAGGACGAGGGTGATGTTATCTTCTTCTAAGAGGCTAGTAGCATAATTATGGATTATATTAATCCAATCAGAGATTGAGATCATTCAAAGCTGGGCTTCATTTCTCCCAGATCAAATTCTTATTTGGTTGTATCTGATTATTTTTATTTTAACATGCTTTGCTTTCTTGTTAGACTGCTGATGATTAATAATGGGGCCAAATGTGAACTCTTCGTATTGGATGTCATTTACAGGAAACCTTTTTTATTCTAGGTTCAAGATTTGTAGCTCTCTGCCCACTCACTGCCCACTGGAGGGTAATTTCTGGGAATTTGGAATCATCAAGATAACGATAAACTATAATGCCTTATGTTTTCAGATAAAATACCTTATGTTTATGTCACTTTTAGAAATGTGCACACCCCTTATTTAATTTGGTGCTCATACTGCTTTTTGGTATGGCATCTTATTTTCAGTGTTTGATAGTCGAAGCAGCTGAGGCTCAGCTAGGTTGAGAGGTTTACCCACAGCAATACATCTGGTGAGTGAAGAATGGGACTTGAGCTTCCTCACTGTTTAGGCTCAGGCACTTTTATAATTTACAGACGTTCTCTGAGCCCAGTTTTCTCATCTCTCAAACGGGGAACCCATAACCTAGAGCCTCGGGATACTGTCATGTGTAATGATGTGAAGGAGACTTGTGATAGGGACGTGTCCTTATGCTAATAACTGCTGTGAGCCCTGGTCAGATTAGCAGACCCTAAAGAGAAGTGGTCAGGGTGATTTGCCCTTCCTTGAGTCTTTCTCAAGAAAATTGAAAGCATACTGAAGTTGGGAGACCTGGGGAGCAAAACTGAGCTTCCTGATCCTCCCTGGGTCCGAGAAATGGTGTCCTGTGACACAAAGAGGTAGATCCTAGGTAGAACCAGAAGCAGTTCTGTGTCATGCTTTTCAGGAGCAACTACCTACTGGCCTGAGAGAAGAGCCCCGCTATGTCTGACTCATTCCACTTTGTGAGCTCAATGACTGTTCTCAGAAGAAAGGGATTCCCCTCTTGTTTGAATGGATGCTCCTTCTTCACTGGGTGCCTGGTGAAGAGCCAGGCCTGGAGCCTCGTAAGTGCAGGGCTGACCTTGTACCAAGAGGGGAGTCAGGGCTTATTCATCCGTTTCTGGGTGCCAGTTGTATGGCTTGGTTAATTAAGCCTTGTGCAGCCATCCAGATGCCATTCTTCATTTTCACTTAATTCCCTAATCAGAATGCCAAGGATTACAAATTAAAATTTGCCACCTTGTCTGAAGTAGTAGGGAGAAATGGACGAGCAGTGGAAGGCGAAGTTATTGGCAGAGGTTCATAAATGTCACTTACTATATTAAGTGGTGTGAGCAGCTAATTATCAAATGACTTCAGAGCTAAAAATCTGTTTTCTTACAAAACATGAAAATGACAAGTAGAGTGAAAAGATTTGGATCATGCAATCAGCACCTGGATATTTAATTTGCAAGTATGTGGTACTCCATAACCTTCCGATTAAAGTAATTAGTACTTTAAAATAGGAAAGTATTAATCCTCCTGTCTTTGTTTTTTATTCAAAAAGTAATGGGGCATAAGAAGCCCAGTCTTTATCCCTATATTATATGAAATTATAAGCAGCCGCTGCGGTTTGCCAGTCTTGATGCTTGAGTACAATAGGAATGTTGAAGTTTATAATGGTTTTGTTCTTGCACCTCTGGAATTTTATATTCATTTTTCTTGGGAGCTTGTCTTATTTTGCCTGAAGAGTGTTTAGCATTGATTATCAAGCATGCACTGGGAGTGTTCAGCTTCTGAGCTAAATTCACTCCTCTCTTCCTCTCCCCCAGCTTCCCATCCTCCCTCCCGTCCCAACATTCAATATTTGTTGAACTCCAGTTCTGTTTCAGGCATTGTGGTTGGACACTAGTTTTAGAAACCCAGTCTTTTTTTTTTTTTTTTTCAATGATAGCATTGCCAATTACTTTTAATCTTTCCATCTTGCTGTATAGTCCTGCTTAGATGCTCCCAGAAAGAAAATGTCACTCAGAATGGCAGGAGCTTAGTATGCGTGGAAATCTGTGACACACTCCCCACTAAAAATAGCATTTTTCTCTGGCAAATCAGTTATCCCATTTGTTATTCTAACATGAAGCTTAGCTGGAATTCGAAATATGCCATTAGATGACTTGATTACCCCCTCATTTCAAGCCCCATCAGAGCCATAACTTTGCTCTATCCTGCTGAGTTATTTTTGACAAAGAGCATTTCCTAGGTGTGCGTGGTGGTTTTTACATTGCTTATTCATAGGCTGTCTTACAGAGAGGATTTGAGGAAGGACTATTTCCTTTGATTTTTATCAGGCTCCTTGAGTGTGGTTATAATGGAGGTGGACTCAGTCTCAGCACATGCTGGGACCAGGAGGAAGGAGGACCGGCTGGTTCTGGAAGCTTCTAGGGGCATGGAGTGCCGATCGTGTTTTAGCTCCAGCCTTACTCTAGGCCTGACCACTCCACACACCTCTCGCCTGTGATCTTATTTAATTCTCACAACTCTCCCGTTTTAGACCAGGAAGCTGAGGTTCAGAAAGGCTTATTGATTTTTGCCTAAGGTCACACAGGTAGTAATGGATTTGGCTTAGGCCTGAGTGTTTTCAATCTTTTCTTCTATTGACCGAACAGCTTTTTAAAAAGACTGAGCTTAGATGTTTCAGAGAGTCGAAGAAAGTAAGGCAAAGAAAGAAGTTCAGATCTATGTCTGTTTCCTCTATTATTAGAACAAGCTTAGGACTCTTTCTGGATGCTACCAACATTGCCTCTAAACT